GTTGTTTTTTGTTGCGAAGATGATGACACGTCGATCGTCCAGGTTGTTGTCGTATTGAAGCATAGGTTCACCGGAGAGGGATCTGCAGTCGTCCTCTTCCAGTTGCGAGGGATGTAGGCGCTCTAGGTCTAGGGTTTCCGTATCAGCGGGCTCTCTGTGCCCTCTTCTTCACCGCTTGTTCGTTGGGGAGGCGGGCACGTGCATCCTGAGACATGGGACCAGTAACGGAGCAAACGATGTTGTGGTTAGTAGTCATCGTCGTAGCAGCCAGATCCTGGACTTTAGCGAGGACTTCTTTCAATTCACAGTCAGCGATATCAGCGTCGTGGTTATGTATCTGTGTCACTTCACTTTCACCAAGGATTCGTTCAGGGTATACAGACGACCACGGCAACAGTCTTTCTTCCTCACACATCTCCAGGCTTGGCGTCCATCGGTGGTAAGCTTTCCATCCTTAGAGTAGCGGAAACCACCGTGTAGGAGATTCTGACTGGTAGGAGTCCTTCCTCTGATAATCTTTACTGTATCTTCATCGTACATGGTTGTTATTGTAGTAGTTGAGATGTAGCTGGAACTAAATAATAAGATACTTCTATTCCCAACATCGGTCTTAAATATACTAGTTGTCTCTCGAGTCGTCTACGTTGTGACTCAAGTTGTTCGTTTCACTGTGCAATCTCTTCGTGTGAAAACAGTTGATCATATCCCAGATCAGTTTACAGATGCCAGATCAGATCCCAGATCGCTCGTGATGTTGTGATGTCCTCACATACCGTTGTGTTATATGAGATCATGACCATGGTGATTCATGACGTGAGTCGAAGTTATGTATCACGTGACTCGATTCGATAGTTTGAGTCACATGACACAAGGGCTTCTGGGATATGATCAACAGTTTTCACACGAAAAGATTGCACAGTGAAACGAACAACTTGAGTCACAACGTCAGAATCTCCTAGTCCAGATGGAACAGTCCTCGACAGACAAGAAGACCTTAGCGAATTCGCTTGGAGAGCAGCAGCCTAAGAGGAGGAAGGCCAATAGCGACAAGGATAGAAGAATCTTCAGCATAGTTCAGAACTACCATTCGTACGAGGATGATGTTGTGCTATGTGAAATGTTTATGTTATTGTGATATTATTCTATTCGGGTTTGACAAAATTGATTGATTACATTGTGATTTATATTACCGTTAAGCGTTCTCTATAAGTATAACCCTGTGTATTTTGTTTGTAAAGTTACAAAGAATTCGAAATCAGTACCACTAAAATGATTGAATATAACTTTGATTGAATATAACTTATAAAATTTATACAATTTGAAGTACGTTGTGTGATGTTTCCGGTTTTGTAGTATTACCAGTCGAGCATTTAGGACATGTGATCGTTTTACGAGTCTTCCGCCCAAATCATGGGATCGACCTCCGCCCTCGCGACCTCCGCCCTCGTGTCCAACCTTTTAGGAAACTTCCGCCCTTGCGTCCTACGCGACCTCCGCCCACGCGTCTTCCGCCCTTGTGTCCTATACCCTTTTCCCCGATAATGTCCATGCTGATGGGTCAAAAGATTCAAGAGTTCAGCGAGTCGGCTACTTCTACCTTCACGAGAGCTAAACTTCAATTTACCTCAATCTGAACTGACTTGTACAGTGGTAGAACACATTACAACCGGGCTTATCATTTTACTTTTAAGTCAGATTTATCCTACTCTTATCTTGGACAAAACATCTCGATCGTATCGTTATTAAACTAACTTGAAAACCATAAATAACTGTCAAAAATTCTGGGGACTTATGGGGACAAATGGTGAATTACGTCAACGAGTTGACCTCTAGTCCCCATGATTTTTAGTCCCCATTAGTCCCCAAAAGTCTCCATTGGTAGTCATTGGCCCCCCCCCCCCCGGCAAATCATATCTCGGTCATCTGAGAAGCTACGTTCTAATATTTTTCAGGACAAACGTTATTCGAATGGCCAAACACAATTCAACAAAATTTTGCTCGATCCGACTATCATAACTATCAAATAAATGCAGTTTATTAATAAGATGTGATAATATACGAAAACAACCATGCCCGTAGCCAGGGGAAGCACTGGCCCAGTGGGGCCGGGGAACGTGATCTTCCTTTTGGGACAGGCAGGGGGCACTGCTCCCTGCCGGCCCTTGAGAGCACTTTTCTGAATTAAATTCATAAAAAAATAGCGTAAGGACAATCTAGAACATATTATGGAAATACGGTCAAATTTCACATTGTATAATGCTCTCCGAGCTTCTAGAAAGCCATTATCTAGCGACATTTTCCGGGGGCTTCGGCCAAGTGCTCCCCTCTTTCCAAAAAGCTGGCATGAAAACAACTACTTAGGTTTGCTATACTGGGGACTAGCCCGGTTCATATATTTGGTTTGCTAATAGATTGAATACGACAGTTTATGTTTAAGAATAAAATAAAATCAATATCAAACAACATTTACACATAAAATCTAATAAAGCTTCTTAAGATCGTCCTTTGTTTCTAGTCCGTATCTCTTCCGGTGAGATTCGACCGCTTGGACTAGTTCCTGGAAGGACTCAGCGTTTCTCGTCATATGTGAGTTAAGTCTTGACAAGTGCCCGTTCTGAGGAGTCATTCAACAGATAAGCATATAACCGCAATTATTGGATAATATTTTTGTTTTATGAACCGGGCTACTGGGGACTACGAACCTCCACCAGCTCTCCAGCCAGTTTTTACTTATAATGGCTTTTTCGAGCGACATTTTGATCGGTATTTTCGTAATTACGTTGTGTGGAGTGTTTTCCGGTGTTTTATATACAATTATCGGCTATATCTTCTGTTGTGATGAATATTTTTTGATACGATAAAAACTTACTATCAAAGAATGCTATTTTCTTCTTTCCTGTGACCACGGGCTTTCTACATATATATAAAGTAATAACAGTACTACTACTAATATTACTAGGCACACTAGCGCTGTGTAGTATTAAACTGCCAGTCACTTATGGAAACAAATGTTGCTATTTAAAGAATTATGAATTACACTATTTTAGGCAACGAAAAGTTCGCAATTTTGCTTTAAAAGTACGTTAAGTGCGTGGTGCTTTAAAAGTACGTTGAGTGCGTACTAACCAACTATGCTACGGAGAAGAAGAACCAACTATGCTGAACATTAAGTTACTAGATTTCGAGAATTGCAGAAAATATAAGTTTGGAGAACGTAGCCATCACCGAAAATCGTTAAAATCAACACACAACTGTGCACATAAGATGATGCAGATCGCAGCTCAACGTTGCGCATGACTGGCGATCAAACTCCTATCCCAAAAAAAGAAAACAGTAAAGAACGCAACTAAATTGTCCGGTATTATGTGCGCGGTTTTCTTTTAAAAATTGCACGCATCACATAACGTGCTATTATTCCATATATGGTCATACGAATCAAAATCCCAGGACTGATATAAGTGAATTCTATAAATAAGACTTGGTTATTGCATTGGTACGCATGGGCACATATTAGGTGCGATGGGTGCGGGATCGCACAATTTACCGTTTCCCGCACACTTCCGCATAATTTATTGTTTTCCGCACATTTCCGCACATTTTGTAATTATCTGCATATTTCCGCATAATCTAGCATTTTCCGCGTAATTTCGCATAATTTTGAAATTTTCGCGTTAAGATTTTCGAGTGTAAAAACAAAAATATGTTAAAAGTCGGGCCCTTTTATAGTGACTCAGGCCCTTTCGGGACCCTGACCCAGGCCCTTTCGGGACCCTGACCCAGGCCCTTTCGGGACCGTGACCCAGGCCCTTTTGGAACTCATACCTAGGCCACGTGACCTAGTTACCACGTAACTCAGGCCCTTTCGGGACCCTGACCCAGGCCCTTTCGGGACCCTGACCCAGGCCCATTCGGGACCCTGACCCAGGCCCTTTCGGGACCGTGACTCAGGCCCTTTTGGAACTCATGCTTAGGCCACGTGACCTGGTTACCACGTGACCGAGGCCCTTTCGGGACCGTGACCCAGGCCCTTTTGGGACCGTTACCCAGGCCCTTTCGGGACCCTGACCCAGGCCCTTTTGGGACCGTGACCCAGGCCCTTTTGGAACTCATGCTTAGGCCACGTGACCGAGGCCCTTTCGGGACCGTGACCGAGGCCCTTTCGGGACCGTTACCCAGGCCCTTTCGGGACCCTGACCCAGGCCCTTTCGGGACCGTGACCCAGGCCCTTTTGGAACTCATACTTAAGCCACGTGACCGAGGCCCTTTCGGGACCGTTACCCAGGCCCTTTCGGGGCCGTGACCCAGGCCCTTTCGGGACCGTGACCCAGGCCGTTATGGAACCCTCGTCGTTACCGTACTTCGATTATAGTGTATCAGTTATCATTCGTAACTTCACCACATCATCTGATTACTCTATATCACAAAACCGCACAATTCCCGCACAAATTTCGAAAAAATCGCCGCACATTTGCCGCATAATTGGTAAAAATTTACCGCACCTTACCGCACATTTTACCTTCATAGTCGGGTGCGGTACTGCATAATTTCGATTTTTTTACCGCACCTAATATGTGCCTCTGTTGGTACGTCTTTATAAAATATGTACCGATCTCAGATATGTCTAGTGTAAAATTGTAATAATATGTTATTATGTGCATTTCTATCAACCTGCGACTTTCAGTGTCTTCTGGTCGACTGGTCGGGTCTACTCACATAACGTAATTTAAAGTCAATTGGCCAAGTAAACTCACTGTGACTGCGACACGTTATCGTTACAATCAAATATGAGCGTATAATCCAAGGTATTTTGGGTAATTGGGATCCATTAATGCAGATGGTCCCAAGTGAAACACTATGATATGAAGAGTATTGGGATCCATTAATGCAGATGGTCCCAAGTGAAACACTATGATATGAAGAGTATTGGGATCCATTAATGCAGATGGTCCCAAGTGAAACACTATGATATGAAGAGTATTTATCACGTGTTCCACCACCAGGAAGTTAGAGATCTACTGCTGCACGCTGAGATAGACAGAGTTTACACCGACTACTCCGAACCTCTCATATCACGTGACATGAACGTATCCCTTAGTGACTCCTCCCCTAAGAAACTCTGCAACGTTAGTACTACCACTTTCACTTTAGTCCTCGGTTTTAGTTTCACTTTCACTATACCCGTGTAGTTACTTTTCATAACAAGTGAATTACAAACCTTTCAACATTTCTAATAGCTATATCCTGTTCAGACTCGTCTTATCGCCAGCAACCGGCCCTTCAAGATGTCCTCGTCAGATACAAGTGAGGGTGAGCCCAGTGAGGACGAGCCCCTGCCTGGTCAGTAGTCAAGTGTTTTGTGTTTAGTTTCTTAGTACAGTGGGTACAGGGTGGGGGCGGGGGGGGGGGGGGGGGTTGGTCATGTCAGACAAGTACAGTAATAGGATCATAATAATAGGGGGGGGGGGGCCGGGGGGGGGGGGGGGGGAGGGGTAGACTAATAATCCTGCTTTTAATGTCCACTATCAGTAAGTTCACTTAACTTTTTGTTATTATCAGATTGTGCGGAAGAAAAAGACAGGTCCCATGAAGATATAGATATAAAGAGTGACTTCTCAGACCTCAGCCCTGATAAGATGTTATCTTCCTCTGCTAGTTCTACCGAGATCACGTCTCCTGATACCCCCGTAAGTTTAATTATCTTTTGCTTAGTATGTTTTCAGTTAATTTACTAGTTTTTGTTTTTGTTAGTCGTATCCCCAATATATCAAGAAAGGTAAAATTGTGACTGATACTGGTAATCATAACCTAAATCCAATGAACGTGATGTTCATTAATCATGCCTCGCAGAGAAAGAGACGGAAACTAAAGCCGAGTATTATGAACTCCTATCTGAAGACATTTGAGTTAGATGATGACGAGGAGGAGGAGGAGGAGGTACCTGACTCTGTTACCAAGAAGAAAAAGAAGAAGAAGAGAAAGTCTCCCTCCTGTTAGTTTTAGTTATTAATTACAAGTATATATTTAATGTAATTAAATATACTATATTTCTCTTATATGTTGAGCTATTAAATTAATTGCAGGTTTGAGAGTGATCCTCGACTAGATAAGAGTCTAGACACTACTAACTTAACATCTTCCAGGTGAGGTGAAGAAGAAAAACAGGAGGTGTGGGAAGTGTGAACAGTGCACTAGTAAGAATTGTGGAACGTGCAAGTTCTGTCTGGATATGAGGTGTTTCGGGGGACCCAACCTTAAGAGACAATCCTGCATTCTCAGACGCTGCGTTAACATCGGCACCAACAAGGTAGGACTCTTTCACTCTTGTTTTCATTTTCGCTTTCACTTTTATTTTCACTTTCACTACATGTTATGTTTAAAAAACATCACCAATGGATCACGTGGTACCTTTCAGTCACGTGGTACCTTTCAGACACAATGACATGATTTGATTTGATTTGAAACTTTTACAAAATAGCAAATATACAAATGTACAGCAAATCGAACAAACATATAAAATGGGCCGAAATGTATAAATGCTATAAAGCGTGGGTCAGTGAAACAAGTTCAGAGGACAACTTTTAAAACACGAGGTTTATGGCCGCCCAAAGTCTCAATAACGTCACCTCCACCTAGTAATAAAATTATGAAATATGAAGTGTGAAACAAATTATGAAATATGAAGTGTGAAACAATCAAGAAATAGCTTGTATATAAATTATAAAATTGTCTCTCAAATACAGATAACGTCCGAGAACTATTAAGATACACAATACTCATTCAAATACTGATCAGTGTCCGAGAGACATGAATTGCTTCACGGTGGTTTCTTATCACGGCTACAGACTTTCCCGTACCGGATATAGTGGTCGAGATGAGTCTGTTCAACCCTCTTCTTCTTCAGGTCCGTAACCAGATGTTTCCTCGTTGCTCGTTCTTCGCTAGATCTATCTGGACAGATCCATACATTTTTGTGGGTCTCAACTAGCCTCAGTCTTCCTGTTTTCGTCAGAATCTGTTGAACCGCTGTAGAGCTTGGGACAGTGATCTTTACTGGTCGGATAGTCGTACTACCTGGCCTCTTCCTGCCGACTCTAGTCGCTTCGAAGTGAGGTTTCTCCCCAATCTCCTCCAGAACTGCGGTTACTAGCGCTGGAAGCTGTTCTCCCTCTTCTTCTTTCAACCCAAACACGATCAGGTTCTTGCTCCTGTCCTCCTCTGCAGCCACACTCTTCATCACCTTCTTCAGGATGTTACTGTTGCAGACCGTACCACTTGCACTGTTCTGTTGTACAGCTGCACTGTAGCTCTTTATCCCTGACTCCACCGTTGTTTGCACTGTCTTCTTAACCGACGTCTTAAACAACTCTAGTTCTTTGTCCTTCTGCACAAGCAGCTGGCCCTGCAGCCTGATCAACTTATCCTTGTCTTCTAACGCTTCCGTCTTCAAGAAATATATGATCTCCTCCATTTTACCCATCTGGCATTCATGCCGTTGAACGAGGTCTATTGCTTCCACAAGCCGAAGTGCCAGATGCTTTTTATAGACAGTTGGAGCCATAAATATTTCTCTGTCCATATCTCCACAAATATCTCTGTCGTCGATTTTCAGTTCTTTTCCCAGCGTAATGAACCACTTAGTAACACTGTCCTTCAATTTTGTCTGTTCATCATACTCGAATCCTTGAATTTGGTCCAGAGATTGGGTCACCTTACGATCATCCTCCATAATGTACTTGTATAGGAATGTACAAGTACACACGCAAAGGCTAACTACGCAGTAGCAGCAAACTGAACTTATCGCAATTTACAAAAGATAAGAGAGCTCGATAATTGCAACGTAAGCTACACTGACTACACACTAAAAATAGCAAAATTGTTATTGAAAACCGTTGGAAATTTCGACATAGTTTTTATCAAGGCTTTTAAAAAGATATAGAATAAATATACTGTTATAATTAATCATATTACAATCATGTGAGAACCCAACCATATTCCCAAAAACTGTACTGTATACACAGCCCACAGGATTTTATAAAGTAGATCAACAGTTAATCACAGCAGTGATTAGTGTTTAGTCTTATAAATAAGTAATCTGTACTGACAAAATAACTGAAGAAGCGGCAAATCTGAGGAATTTCAAATAATTTAAAACAAGAACTGCTGCAGTTCATTTAATTCTTGTCTATCATTCAATTTAATATAGAATGTTTATTTTTCTAGATAAATCCTCTGCAATCTACGGTTGACAATGTTTGTGCCTCCTAAAGATGGATATACTGAGGGTTACTACTGCACTGTCAGGGTGGTGACCACGTTAGTGTTGAGCGAGAGCAGTGTTGAGGTAGTTTGTAGTGTTTACTGTTCACAGTTTCCAGACACAGATCATGGATATGGCCGGGTGTCTTCCTGGAATATGTTAATAAAATTCCGTTTGCATTTCATTCTAACATTGTTTCTCACTGAGTCAAATCCAGAGAAGAAATTCCTTAAATCAGTATAATATACAATATAGGGGGGGGGGGGGGGTGTCACGTCCGTCTATGTCCGCTTGTCTCATAGAATCCAAAAAGGACAGGACATAGGCGGACATAGGCGGACATAGGCGGACATAGACGGACATAGGCGGACATAGACGGACATATACGGACATTAGCGGACATTAATGGACACCTAAATTGCTAAATAAAATGTTCAATTTTTGCTGTAATATGGGGATCATGTTTTTTGTCCGGTACCCTATATTTTCAAAACGGACAAAAAATAGAGCGGACAAAAACGGACAAAAACAGACAAAAATGGAAATAACATTTAGATGCTTCCTCCTCCTACTCTTCCTCCTCCTCCTCCTGGGTCTTCCTGATCTTCCTCAGTCCTCTTCCTCCTCCCCTCCTCAGTCCTCCTCCTACTCCTCCTCCTCGTCCTCAGTCCTCCTCATCAGTCCTCAACAGTCCTCCTCCTCCCCAGTCCTCCTCCTCCTCCTGAGTCCTCCTCCTGGGTCCTCCTCCTGGGTCCTCCTCCTCCTCCTCTTCCTCCTCAGTCCTCAGTCCTCCTCAGTCCTCCTCCTCATCCTTCTCCTCAGTCCTCCATCCTCCTCAGTCCTCCCCCAGTCCCCCTCCTCCTCCTCCTATTCAGTCCTCTTCCTCCTCCTCAGTCCTCCTCCTTCTCAGTCTTCCTCAGTCCTCCTCCTCCTCCTCCTGAGTCCTCCTCCTCTTCCCTCTCAGTCATCCTCCTCAGCCATCCTCCTCAGTCCTCCTCAGTCCTCCTCCTCAGTCCTCCTCCTCCTGGGTCATCCTCCTCCTCTTCATCCTCCTCCTCTTCCTCCTCGGTCCTCAGTCCTCCTCCTCAGTCCTCCTCCTCATCCTTCTCATCAGTCCTCCTCCTCCTCAGTCCTCTCCCAGTCCCCTCCTTCTCCTCCTCCTATTCAGTCCTCCTCCTCCTCCTCCTCAGTTCTCCTCAGTCCTCCTTCTCATTTCTCCTAAGTCCTCCTCCTGAGTCCTCCTCTTCCTCCTGAGTCCTCCTCCTGAGTCCTCCTCCTCCTCCCTCTCAGTCATCCTCCTCAGCCATCCTCCTCAGCCATCCTCCTCAGCCATCCTCCTCAGTACTCCTCAGTCCTCCTCCTTCTCAGTCATCGTCAGTCCTCCTCCTCAGTCCTCCTCAGTCCTCCTCCTCCTCCTGGGTCCTCCTGGGTCCTCCTCCTCCTGGGTCCTCCTCCTGGGTCTTCCTGATCCTCCCCAGTCCTCTTCCTCCTCCCCTCCTCAGTCCTCCTCCTACTCCTCAGTTCTCCTCATCAGTCCTCAACAGTCCTCCTCCTCCCCAGTCCTCCTCCTCCTCCTGGGGCTTTTTCCTGGGTCCTCCTCCTGGGTCCTCCTCCTCCTGGGTCCTCCTCCTCCTGGGTCCTCCTCTTCCTCCTCCTCCTCCCTCTCAGTCATCCTCCTCAGCCATCCTCCTCAGCCATCCTCCTCAGTCCTCCTCCTTCTCAGTCCTCCTGAGTCCTCCTCCTGAGTCCTCCTCCTCCTGAGTCATCCTCCTCAGTTCTCCTCCTCCTCCTAGGTCCTCCTTCTGGGTCCTCCTCCTCCTCCTCCTCCTGGGTCTTCCTGATCCTCCTCCTCCCTCTCAGTCATCCTCCTCAGTCATCCTCCTCAGCCATCCTCCTCAGCCATCCTCCTCAGCCATCCTCCTCAGCCATCCTCCTCAGCCATCCTCCTCAGCCATCCTCCTCAGTACTCTTCAGTACTCTTCAGTCTTCCTCCTTCTCAGTCCTCCTGAGTCCTCCTCCTGAGTCCTCCTCCTCCTCCTGGGTCCTCCTCCTGGGTCTTCCTGATCCTCCCCAGTCCTCTTCCTCCTCCCCTCCTCAGTCCTCCTCCTACTCCTCCTCCTCGTCCTCAGTCCTCCTCATCAGTCCTCAACAGTCCTCCTCCTCCCCAGTCCTCCTCCTGGGGCCTTTTCCTGGGTCCCTATATAATTTGATATAATACCTTACAAGACATATTTATGTGGATCATAATTCTGGGGATCGGAATTATGGGGGAACGAAAATATGGGGATTTTTTTCAGAAATCCCCAAATTTCGTACCCCAGATTAAATTGTCGCATTTTCACGCTAAATTATTTCAGAGAAATCAAAATCAGTTTTTGATGGAATTTTTAAAAATCGTGAAAAACTAAATTAATTAAAAATCATTCTCTTTGTTTAAATCGTCTTCATCATCGTCTCTTTCACCTTGAGTCTGCTCACCGGTGTAGTCCCAGGTGTATGCCTCCCTCAACACGAGTTTGAGCTTGTCGATTAAGTCAAAAAACCAGTATTTTCTATTCAGTAATTTTTATACTAAGTAACTTTTTATTTACCTGAGAAATGCGTATCCTTGTCTCACAAAACTCGTAAAACAACTTATTTTACAAATTCACCTCAAATTAGCCCTATATAAGCCAATTACAATAACATAAAAAATTAATGTGTGGGATTTTGAAATGGCGGCCACAATTTTGGTAGTACGAAAATATGGGGATTTTTTCCAAAAATCCCCAAATTTCGTACCATATAAATATGTCTCGTAAGGTAAGTTAAAACTATTGATAGCTTTAGTGTGATTAATAAGTCGTTTGTTTTGTACAAAATTATAATACATAGAAGTTGCGAAAAATTCTCAAAATGTTTGTCCGCTAATGTCCACCAATGTCCGCTAATGTCCACCAATGTCCGTCCGAGTCCGCCAATGTCCGTCCGGGTCCGCAAATGTCCGTCCGAGTCCGCCAATGTCCGTCCGAGTCCGCCAATGTCCGTCCGTGTCCGCCAATGTCCGT